AAAGTGGCAAACTGACCTCTTCCGAGTCTTAGACGAACACACATCAGCCGCGCACTGATGTCTGTTGGTTCACCCGCGAGCTGGCCATGGAGGCGATCGGATATTGCAAATCCGACCCCATGTTCACGTGATGCTGAGGCGGCGTTGCCTACACAGTAGAATATGTAGCCAGCACCTGCTTCATGTAACTTACCTTGCTCAGCGAGCCGAGTCTTACTGACGCTGCAATATCGATGTGGTAGCGAGCCAGTCCTATCGCGACCAGTGCGGTGCGTCAGTCGGGACGCTCACTCGAGTTCCGGTCCAGTAGTGTGCGCACGTTCCAACATCCGATGCTGAGTTCTTTGCGCGCAGGCACCCGATTGCATTGGTGGGTAACGGCACGCGAGGTGGAGGTTGTGTTTCGGAGATTTGCTTGAGGGACTGCGCCCGGAGCCTTTGGCTCAGTATTCTGACCCACAAGGCAGTGGGGAGCAGATCCAGCTCAATAATGGGATTGCAGAGACAGATAGGATCTGCTTGACGGCCGTCACACGCAGCCTTTGAGGTACTGGAACGATTCATATGTGTTTTGCGACCGTAGTAGGATACGCATCTGCAACCACGGCCAGACACAGGTAGGTTTTGGCGGGTTTGCACCAATTTGACCAGGGGCTGCCTGGCTTGAGGCGGGCAGTAGCAAACCATTGAACACCCGGAGGTGCGCTCCCATCGTCAGAGAAAATGTGTGGCGCTTGTGATCTAAGCCAATAGAGCTGTGAGCTTATAAACCGTAGACCTGTAGTCTCCCATGGCTAGGTTTTACGGGAAGAGGACCATCAACCAGTCCGTAAACTCCGAGGAGGAGAAACCAGGATACTGGCAGGGCGCCCAATCCTGACAGGAGAACAACTCGGGTTCTCAGCCAAAGACTCCGATTAAATGTACACCCGAAAGGCAGCGGGACTAGCACATGGTCAGTTCACTGACTCATGCGGATTGGTGTCCTGGATCTTAGCAGGGAGAAAGGTGTAACTCAACTCCCATCTAGTGGTCGCCACGAGGATGCGTGCGGGACATGAGCCCATGGCACAACAGTAGCAGCAGTGGGTAGACCACCTGTCAGGATCAAGCCATCACTAGTCTCAGCGCACCATAGGCTCTCCCGCCATATGGCTGGCGGCATCCGGTTTCGGATTTGCCTGTCACTGTGGCCAGCCACAGGACGCCTGCGCCTACAGAGGGACCATGGGTCGCTTGCGCTGCACCACCCACAGCTCCAACCACACACCCCATATCCAGTGTAAACCCGAAGGAATAAGACCGGGAGGCATGTGAGTGAGAGCCACGTTTCATCAACGGAGCCGGCCCACACTCCTTCACAGGCATACACAAGCACACTGTATTTGGGGAATCAAGCGCACACAAGGCGGTGGATGGACCGTAGTCCGCTCCACACTGAGTGCATGGAACCACTCTTCGAGCCTAGCACGGCCAAAAGGACCGTGCACCCCGTCCCCTCCAGCAACGACCAACTGTCTCCTGGAGCCAGTATGGACGAGGTAGTGGGTAATAGACAGGTAGGCACCTTGTCAACATGCACATCAAGCGCAGCCACACCGGGGATATCAAGCAACAGCCAATAACTTGAAACGACAAAATGAAATAAAATAAATCCAATAATGCATACAGATACGGTGGCATAACTCTTCGCTAGATTAGCATATGAAGTAATTTGGTTAGCAATGAATCCGCGATAAGGAAAAAGAATGTCCACAAGTTACTCAAGAATGCTACAAACGCAACAAAATTACCGAAGATAAGTGCAATTAGCGTAAACAACGTGGCCAGCCAATAGAAGACTATCCAGACAGGCAAAACAAAACAAATAAACTGGAATGAAATTTATGCAGCTTAAAGAGACCTAGTTTAAGTGTAAGTTGGTTTAGCCCAACTGCGGTGAAGAAGCGTCGAGAATGCAACATCAGCCTCAGCATGGGGCAATCCCGCCATATATATATATATATATATATATATATATATATATATATATATATATATATATATATATATGCAACACTACTAGTAACATTAGAATTGGCTGTGCCGTAACACTTAAGAGAGAAAAACAGTAGGATGAAATGAAAAACGACTGTTAAAGAAGTAGTGTCTCGAGGCAAATGCGCCATTGCGTACGGTTCTTGGCTATATCCAGTAACGTTGGTAACCAGATGTGCAAGTGATATTTCGGTCCACAACCCGGGAGTCGGGAATGCCCAACATCAGCTACCTTCGACGTTTGCGCTCGCAAATAGGGCACGTCGTGGCAGCCGCTGAGTAGGCATGCGAAGCACATGCCCAAGCCAGCGAAGCCACCGCAGTGAAATGATGCTGTCGATCGGTCTGCGGAGTTCGTCAGATTTGAAGACTCGCTGACGGACCTCATCATTACTGATGTTATGCTGCTATCGAACACCAGCAATGCTTCGCATGCAACGGTGATCGAAGACAGATAGGCGCTGAACATCACTTTTGCGAACGAGCCAAGTCTCGCAAAAGCACAGCAGAATCACTGGTACCGCAGCATTGTAGACTCGTCCCTTGAGATCGAGGCTCATGTCACGACGAAGCTACAGGTGACGGAAGTTAGCGAAAGCTACGCCAACCTTAATGACACGCAAGGAGATTTCATCCGTCAAACCGCCAATAATAAGATAACTTGTAAAGTAAAAGAATTTCGTTGAGGTTTTCATCCCAGTAGTTCACAAGCTACACAGCACAGCTTAGTCCGGAAAAGCACCAGACGCGTTCCGTTTCTATTGGGGCTCGTAAGTTGCGTATTCTCTCGGTCCCCTACTGAGGAAGAAACCCATGACCGCTAGAAGCAGACGCCAACTAGCCAGCAGTTTAAACCACTGAGCAATGGGGGACGTTGGCTGGGCTAGATAATGTGCAAACTAACTGGGATATGGCACCACCTATCTTCCACTATCACTGACTGGTTAGGATGCGAGGTGATGACGTCCTCTCATAACAAAATTACAACTAAAATCCTGCTACTTACGAGTAATATAAAATAAATGGCCTCTCCTAATTGCAAAATGCTATGGATATAGTCTAGCGAGAGGACATCACCTCGCAGGCTAACCACTGTCAGTGATAGTGGAAGATCGGTGGTGCTATATCCCAGTTAGTTTGCATATTATGTAGCCCGGTCAACGTCCCCCATGTCTCAGTGGCTTAAGTTGCTGGCTAGTTGGAATCTGCCTCTAGCGGTTATGGGTTCGATCCTCCTTAGAGTACCCAGAGAATGCGCACCACTGACGAGCCCCAATAAGGCGAAACGCGTCTGGTGCTTTTCCGGACTAGGCTGTTATGTAGCTTGTGAACCATTACTACATCAAGAAAATTGCAACTAAAATCTTGCTACTTACGAGTAATGGAAACGAATTCGCCGACCACGAGTCGGCGTATGAACTTATTTAGGTGTCCATTTCGTTAGGCAAGTGTGTCTCTCAAGGGAGCAACCAAGAACCTAAGTGGCCGGTACCGTTTTGTGTAATCAGCAACCACGATAAGACTAGAGCGGTGAAGCGGGTAACAACCTACAGATAGCTCTCCTATTCGATCCAAGCAGTAAGTGACATTACACTCCCTACTCACTTGGTGTGTACCACCCACGTAGGCCACATGGAGTGCGAAAATTCGCGCGTTAGACAAGTGTGATAATCGAATTGCTAGGATTATCTTGATGGGCAACTCGGGCATATCGGGTTGGGGTAACATGCAAACCCACTCAGTGCTCACCTGGTAACACATTCTGAAACTATCGAGGATGGCCCGTAGTCTAAAGGTAAGGAACTTGTATCGTAATCTTGCAGCGCGGGTCCGAATCTGCGTAGGGGTGGGCGTCCTCGCGGTATACCCAGCCCGCACGCGACTGGGGGTGGTCGCATGGCAACGAAGCGCCGTTACGGTGTACAGGTGCCACACTACACTATCGAATAGATGCAGTGGTTGTGTAGTTGCGGAGATAAGATATAATAGATAAAGACGCTGACTGGTAACCCTTTGCACCACGCTTGTCTGACACAAAGTGGAAAAGCGTCTGCTGCCATCAAGCATTGAACAACAACCGGACTGAGGTACGTCACCACGTGGGGAAACTTTGACTGTAAGCCGCTGTTTAAATGGGTTGTCCCTTGCCAATGGATAGTCAACGAACAGCGTAATACTTCAAATGGGAAAAAGGCTGTGAGAAAATAGGAGTGGTTTACATGCGACACATGCCAATATTTGGCTGGAACAGAGAACGTCTGTGTACCTATGCGATGGAATGCTACTTGGATGGAAACACATAATGCTACGGTCGCGTCCTGAAATGTTTCAGTAAGATTATTCTCAGAGTAGATAAAGAGGACACAGAGGAGTACCTCTTGGCAAGGATGTGCTCATATACACGGAGAGTATGAAAGCTGTAGATGGGTAAAGGTGGTTAGATCAAGCAGGAGTGGGCAACGGATTATGGTCAAACGAACATGTTGCTAAAAATACATGATGGTCACTGTTGTTGTCGTTTCCTTTGATTGGCATAATGGATTGATTGCATGAAGCAGCCCCAGATGCCAACCGCCAGAATGCATTCCCCTGGTCATATTTCGAATTGAGACCGATAGAAGAATCAATGAGGAGACTTGCACCGAGCTGCCACAGTAGTTGAAACCAAGAGTTGCGACTTCAACCACTTCGGACCCTGCTCTTTCACCTTTCATATCAATGTGCAGGAAGAATCCTATTAACACAGGTGCACTCGATGAGTATCAATGATACTTCAATGCACAGATGTGTTGAAGAGTGGTGCTACACTCTACATGTCACGTACGAAGACAGTAGGAAAACACACTCACATTAGCAGAAATGAAAAGGCGATGACACCAACAGAAATCGAGGGATGACATGTGCCGGTATGAGGGCAGCAAAACTCCTGCATATCATCTCATACGTCAGTAACCACCACTCACCCATTAATCGTTTCTGAAAGTTCTCCAAACTCTCGGTATCCCTCAAAGCGACCACGAATGGATTGTCTCGGTCAATCAAACGAGGTAGTCCACCAGTAGCGAGACACAAGCGCCCATAGTGGATTGGGTTGGAAGAACCTCGCCTTTCCAAATAGACCAAACGATTCTCTGGGCTGAAAGGAATCCACGAAACCGCCAGACAATTAACACCAGAATCTGCCTTCCTAAAAGTAATCCATCGTAAGCTATAAAAGGAGACTACCAAAAAGCGGTGTAGTGTTGGAGAAAAAAAGGAACAACACATAATTCCAATGTAGAACTGGTCGAAATGTTACGTGAGATGATGACAAGTTGGAAGAAAATTGCGGTTCTTAAAGGAAGTGTGACTCACGGAATAATTCTCGAGATATATCAAAGCGTCATGCAGTAGTTCCGCCAAAAGTCGAGCAGAGATTGATGGCGGGATGAAAACTAGCACCAAACTGAATAGGTGGTGGGAGTGGATCACCTACTAGACGAGATGGTGAGAGGACTCAATCATAAAGCATGCAGTAATCATAGATAGACAAAACGCGATCATATGAGATCAATAGTTAGCACTCGTTGGCCAATCATCAAGGAGTATATTCCTAAGTGGTTACGCAGCCGGATGGGTTCGGCGACGGCGGGATCGGGTGAATTGAAAAATCGCGCTGCCTCGGCAATCACAATGCTCTTGCCGAACACCGACCACCGAGTTAACCCCGATGAGGCATTAACCGTCCATATGCGCAATGAGCGGCCCCACGTTCTCAGGCTATTGGAACCCATCGTCATCGATCGACAGCGGCCACTGCTTTGTGTGCAGAAACAGTTGACTGTGAACCTTAACGTACCGTGGTAGTGTGAGATGTGAGGATTGGCTAACGATTGGCTAACTATTGATTTTATATGATCGCGTTTTGCATATCTATGATTTCTGCATGACTTGTGATTGAGGAGTTTGAACGAAAGGACTGAGTCATCTCACAGTTTGTCTTCTGACTTTTCTGTTTGGAATTATAAAGGGAAACTCCTGTTTCAAACTAAACGAGTATCAAGCCAAGCACTGAGCTAGGTAAAACGTGTTAGGAAGAGACGTTACTGACCCATTTCGGTTAGTTCACTTCAGTGATAAACTGTACTAATGGCAACCAAGTGCGGTGGGACCAGTTGCCTGACTCGTGTCACTAAAACAACAGTAAGAATAATAATGCAACAAGACAGAGTGAGAAGTACCTCCGACGACTGCGGCCTACTTCAACGAGACAACTGCGTTTCCATGTGGTCTGCAAATGTCTGTCTTCCGGTCAGTCTATCCAAGTCGCTATGCATGAGCTTGGGGAATGGTGGAGACGGCCAACCAACACATTTAACGGACAATGCTACATCCCACGTCTTCCGTGAAGTACCTAGGCTTGCGCTTACGTTGCGATTCGTAGTTCATGGTCAACACGAACAAGTTACACCGAAACGGACTGCCTATTCTATGGGCGTCCAAACGTGGCATCTGCATTTGGTCTGAAGAGATGGCCACCCTTCTCTTCGCCTCCACCACAAGACTAATACTATAGTACGGCTGGACCACCTATTGTCCGAACACTCGATGTGAGGCGCAGAAAAGTGAACGGGTGCAACACGTCGCTATCAGACTCATCCCCAGTTTGCGGGGATCACCGCACGAAGACAGGTGCGAGAGGCTGGGACTGTACACCCTGGCCCATCATATTCCGACGGAGTTGCACACACTATAATTACTACCTGCTCCCACCATACAGTATAAAGAAAAAATTCGTAGGATGATATAGTCAAAAGTCATAACCGAAGGAACGAGTGTAAGTGTTAGTGACTCCGTGGCCGCGCTATATCAGATGGGATACCCAAGCACTGATGTGACTAGTCTTGAGGACCCCATCCAGAAACACAATAAGAACTAACCCGACGCAGTGGCTGAGTACATCAATCCAGCCAAAACATACTACGAGGTCGAGTTATTTGGACTAAAGACTTTCCGTGTGTGGGTGTGCGTTGCCGGAATCCAGTGATATTCACCACAAAAAGATGATGGAACGCGCTTACAGGGAAATAAAAATATGGCCATGAACATGCAAGGTTATGTGCTTACTCTAATCTGCTCACTGTGTCATAAATAAGCTGCAGGATGTCCGGCCAAGTCTCCGACCACGCGGATCCCGAGGTTTCCTGCACTTCAAAGGCTTCGATCATATTCGAAATGCGGCGCAGATTAACTGTTGTCTTCACGGTGGCGGTGGCGGATACGAGGGCAACGCGCAAACGCTGATCTGAGTCCACTGAACCACCGCCACCAAACCGACTCGGTCTAATCAGTTCACAAAGCGTTTCAGCACACACGACACCGGCGATGCCACCGCCAATGATGACGAAATCATAATAAAGTGTTGCATCTTCAACGTTTGGCATGGCAGTTGGCAGCTTAGCAAAGTGAATCGTAGTCCAGGAAAAACGTGGATTCAGGAGAGCTGAAATAAGCCAAGAAGTTATCCGTAAGGTTAATCATAAGATCTGAGATGTGAACACCAGATTACATTAAGGAGCGTACATGTTCACGCTTGTGTAGACAAGTAAAGGCGGCAAATTCGCACCGTGCAGATGTAAAGGAAAAACTAAATAATGCGCTAAATGAATGGTGCGCCAAGGACCATTTCTAGCGGGACGGATTGATAGTAAAGTACTTGTACGCTTTATTCAGAGAAAGGTGCGTACATTTGTATAACTGAGTAAAGTATGCGGACAGAATCAGTACTGTCCATCACATGCAACGCAGCTGATTCGTGGTCTCTACTTATAGGACACGGAAACCGACCGTTTGGCGGTCAGTCAGGTATGGCCCCAGGTTCGAGTAACGGCGTCCCACTCGAAAGGTTGGTGCAAAGTGCCCAGCAGTCGGTAGGGCCCAAACGCTAAGCAATGACGTACATGAAATGGAAGTGGGTAATCCAAGAAATAAACAACTAAGAGCTCTAAATGGTGGACCTGACTGGTGGAGTTCAGTTCAATTCTGTTGACCGATCATGGCCCGAAAAGTGGTTGGTGGTGAGTTCAGCCGTCATGAATCAACATCAAGCAATAAGGGAAGGAAAAAGAAAAGAGGTGAGAAGAACAACTGAAAGAACAAGTAAAATCATAAACAGAAATATTACAAAAAGAAGTCATTTCACATGTTACTCAGAAGTGAGAAACACCCAAGTTGTTACAACGCAACAGAACCAAAAAAGAGGGGGAAAACAAAAAATAAATGAGATTGCGCATCGTTTTTATTACGCGTCAGTAATGAGAGAGTGGTTGGAATGGGCGGCTAAACGGGAGGAGGATGGATGAAGAAACTCCCCAGACAAACGTGATTTAGGTCGGTTCACTGACAAACTAGCAAATAATTTCAAGCTAACGTTGTAATCGTATTTGGAACCACAATAGAGGAGTGGAAGACACTAACCGAGACCAATTCGAAGTGAGAAACTTTATTCCTCTCATTGGCCTCTCATTTAAATTCAAATTCAGGAAGCGGAAACAGAAACATCGCGGGAGTCGGGGTCACAAGCAGCAACAATCAGTACATCAGACATTTAAGCTGATGCTTCGCTGTCATACATACATATCTATCTACGGAACCTAGCGTAAAACTATAATGCATAAACGTAACATTCAGGGTCAAAGCGCCTACAGCTTGTGTCAACAAAATATCGTCACCAACAGCTGGCTATCGTGCAAAGACAAGGCGGCATCAGCGAGACAAGTCCTATGCGACTTTCACTGCCACATGTCATAATCAGCCATTAAAGCGCAGATAACTCAGCACGAAACACACTTTAAACATGCATGGCCATTAGACGCCAGCAGACACGCTACTGGTGTCGGCTGCCAGCCATGTGCTCTAAAGTTTCGAGCCAAGCACAAGGCGGGTCACGTAGACTACAGCCTGGAAGGCAAGACGTACCAAAAGCACCAAGTTTGGTCATCAGTTACGTTATTTTGCGCTGCCAAGTTAACTTTTGCCCACATCGAGCTAAGCGCCACCCTACATCTGGCAAACAAAACAAAGCCATCCTCCGCAAGCGGTGACCAGACATACGTGGTACATACTCAAGCCAACGCAACTTATTCAGTGTTACCTGTTGTTCTAAGGAAGCAGCCCAGTTAGTACTGCCACAACTCGCCTACACACAACATCGTTGCGGATACGTTACTGCCATCCAACATCAGCAATGAGTCGTAGACAGCGATGATCAGAGACTTGAAGACGCCTCAGATCTTCAGACCAAAGGGGCCAAGTCTCACTGCCATAGAGCAAGACGACCGTCAGTGTGGCCTTCTAAACACGGCCTTTCAGACAGAGAAAGACTCCCTTCTGTCGTCAAAGATGCCGCAGATGCAAGAAGGCAGTTCTAGCTACTTCAATACGTAAACTAACTTCAGTGCTTATGTACTCAACGTTCCTGGTGCAACTGCCAAGGTAAGTGAAGTGATCAACTATCTCGAATTCATCGCTATTAAGAGCCAATAGGCTGGTTCTACTGTAACAACACTGCACTTTGAAGGTATGAAGCGTATGCCGAATGATGGCACCACTCTATACCATTTCCAAGTGAACTTAGGCCACAAGGGTTACGAGTTCAGCTGACTGGTTATCAAAATCCTCTGGGACCATTACAGGTTAGTCTGAATGATAAACCAAATTCAGTAGGGCGACAGTGACATGCGCGCCTCCAGTTAATATGGCATAGATGCATGTATGGGACACAGCCCGGATTAGTTCGCGTCCATCTTGTCACCTAGACTCGGACCACGCACTTGTGTATGCCGACCTCTGGGTGCGTTTCGGTGGACGTCCGCTACGTCGATGTGAACCGATTGACACCAGTCAGTTGGCGAAGCTAGGTGTTCTGAAGGTGTATCAAAGTGCGCTGACATCCGGGCTGAGTAAGCGCCCATTGAACACCGTCGAAGATCACTGGTCGCATATTCGTCAAATGTTACTATCAGCAGGCATGTCTTCATGTGGCAAATCAAATTGCCAAACTGGACATTTGGTCTCCACACAGTCTCTGGAACTTGTGGATGCTCGCCGATGTATTCCGGCTAGAAGCGAATACAATGAGACTCGCAGAAATCTCAGAGCAAAAAATAGGTGATAGCCTGAAGAAAGACCGCAAAGCTTGGTGGTCTCATCGTGCCCCGGATATGAACAGCCGCTATCGTTAGTAATCATTGTAAGTTATTCCGTCTGATACGGGAAACAGGTAACAGGAGACCTGGTGTTAGCGAGACCATACGCGACGAGAGTGGGAAGCCGATCCACAGCCTGTCAAAACGCATAGAGCGCTGGGCTGAACACTTTGCAAGGCAATGTAAGCAACTGAGTTATCGCTTTCTTTTTCGGGCATTGAGCGCCCTTCTCCCTGGGTCGTCTCCTTGGATCCGCTCTCATGCGCAGAAGTCCAAGGTGAGATCAGGCCCCAGGGGCAGACAGAATTCCCTGACCATCTTCAAATTCGGGGGACCTGCTATAATAGTTGATTTACACGAGTTGCTAGTGAAACTTTGGGAGCAGGAGACTGTCCCGACAGACTGGAGCCGTTCCGCCATTGTCCCAATTTTCAACGGAGGCTCCCGTTCGAAATGCGGCAATCATAGAGGGACCAGTCTGATTTCGATTGCCTCTAAATTGCTTGCTTCTGTCATTGTCCACAGACTGACTGGCACTCGTGAAAGCCAGATTCGTGAAGAGCAAGCCGGATTTCGTCGAGGTCGGGGCTGCATCGACCACATCTTCACATTGCGTCAAGTGTTGGAACACCGCCATGTTTATTGGCGACCCACCGTTGTCGTGTTTCTTGACATAAAAGGTGCCTTCGACTCAGTCGATCGACGTGCCCTTTGGGACTGTCTGCTGAGGAAAGGTGTGCCTGATAAATATGTAAACATTATCAAAGCGCCGTACGCGCATAGTTCGGGCAGTGAGGGTTTATGGCAAACTGTCGCCACCCTTCAGTATCACCAACGGTGTGAGACAAGGTTGTCCGCTGTCACCTTCCCTCTTTAACTTCGCTATTAATGAAGTCATGGAAACAGTGTTCGCTGGACCCGACCAAGAAGGTGTGGAGCTGCTTCCTGGTAAACGACTTCTTGACTTAGAGTATGCGGACGATATTGCCCTAATCTGTGACAGCTCCCAAACATGCCAAGCAGCATTGGAACGACTAGCACTGGCTGTCAATCGTTTTGGGCTATGCTTTGCTCCATCGAAACGCAAAGTACTTCTCCAAGATTGGTAGGGACCTAACTCTGCGCTAACGCTTGATGGTGATCTGCTAGAAGTCATTCAGAAATTCAAGTACCTGGGCAGCTATGGTATCACCCGTGGAATAAAGTATCAGGTTAAGAAACGTATAGCAAAAGCTGGAGGTGTTTTGCCAATCTTCGCCACCTGTGGCGCAGACGCGACCCTACTCTCGCCTTGAAGGGTAGAGTTTATAACACAGCCATCCGTTCAACTCTCTTATATGGTTGTGAAACCTAACCGATCAGATTGATAGACATAAAGAGGCTTGTCACATTCGATCATCGCTGTCTTCGCAGCTTAGCTCATGTCGGGTGGGAACACCGCGTGAGCAACAGCGTGTTCGGCGTCGCGTAATTGACGCAGGAAGAGCGAGTGAACCACTCAGCACCATTATATCACGCACCAGGCTCCGATGGCTGGGCCACGTGTTGCGCATGCCAACACACCGACTTCCGCAACGTGCATTATTTGCGCGTCGGGAGTGCGGTTGGAAGAGGAGAAGGGGAAGCCAAGCGATGACTCGGTCGAGAGAAACGATAACTTTTACTTCGAAGTTGGCGTCGGTTGGTCCATCCCGACTGCCTGGCTGGGGTCCTAGGGACAATGAACACGTATGGTTGGACACACTTGCTGATGTGGTTGGCAGCCGGCCCCAATGGCGTTTGTGTTGTGAGTTCCTTTGTCCATCCCCTCCTGCTTAGCCTCCCCTCCAATCACGATCTCATCCGCTAGGCATAATATAACTCCCTTTCTGCGGCACGATAGTCGGCTGTTAGCTCTCCGGAACGATGTCCATCCGTTACGGGGGACTCAGCCGGCGTATCACTGCTGTTTTTTCTTCTTGCCTTTAGTATTGCGGCACAATAGCTAGGTGTTTCCACCTGCAGTTAAGGTGTATAGTGATGATGATGAATGGTCATCGATGTTGTTCATCCACCCCCCCCCCGTTAGGTACTCAATTCCGGTCGCATTCGCTTATTCATAGTGCTGTGGGATATATTGTGATATTTGATGGGTAACCAGATGATCAACCTCGAACTCCCTACGCTCTGAGACATCGCACTGATCGGGCGCGACTGTTAACCTGTGAATTAGACGATACTCATTTACACGCACCTTCACTAAGAAGGCATTTCCCGATCCGCAACATGGAGAAGCGCGCAACAGCGTACAGGGATT